ACAATATCTATAGAAAACATCACTTGCATCACGAACATGTCACCGCCACAAAACTGTACATGCAGCCACAACAGCATAAGCATGTTGAATTCATCTATCATTTAGTTGCTACAAACCAACATATACTTGATATATATGCTACCCCAAACATCTTGGAATCAAATTCAAACAATCATAGCATGTAGAAATAGTTACTAGAAGCATCACATGACAATAGATACATGTATATGTTCACAACATTCATTCTCTACTTTAATAATGCAACATATGTATTATTTTTAGTACTATATGAGAACAACTAGTTTGGGGCTGAGACTTTTATGAGTGGTAGATGTTATCAAAATATGGCTACTACATAAATTTCATATGCTCAGGTATTATAATTTAATTACTATGAAAAAGACAAACTGCTATTGCAAGAAAACATGTAAAAGCAAGATAAATCTAAAAATCTTCATTTTCTATAAACATATAGCCATATTATGGTTTATCAGGTCACAATATCACCATGCAAGGGAAAGGGAACCACATTTCATATTTTTTATATATAAATTATTTATAAACCATTTAAAACCATTTATCAAGCATTAATCAAGTTAAATTCATAACTCAGTCACACATGCACCACAAATTATCAAATTTTAATCAGAGCTCACACATGCTATAAGTATACTAGCATAAACTTTTTAGGTCATTTGGAGCAGTGCAACAGTAGATATGACGATAGCAAGCAAAGTAAGCTAGAATTCACCATTAATCATGATTAAATCAAAACATCATAAAAATAGTGTTCAAACAACATGTTTAATAGTTTTCATAGCCATAACATGCCAAAATAAGACTCCCAAAACTGGAATCACATTTTTAGGACATTCCTACCTCGAGATATGCATCTAACAAACATAAAAGGATTTCTAAAAGCACTTTAAAATAATAAATAAAAACAGCAGAAACTTTATACTAACACATATCATATTATGACTCTACTATGTAGATCTACTCACAAGGATTCCAAAAAGTCCTTATTTGCTATTTTATGATTTTCCTACGATTTATTATGATTTTCCAAAGTTTTAGCCATAAAAGAAAAAAACAAACTTGCACCGAGGCCCCTAAACTTCCACGAAAATAAATTCCAACAAACAGGTCCTTCCAGGCACTGTTCAACTAAGTCACAGCTATGCACTTAAGCCCTTCCCTTTCTTCTTATTGTTGCACGAGGACCCTCTTCATCTTCCTCATCGAACAGAGCAGGGCACGGCACGGCAGGGGCAGCTTCGGGGTTGGCCGACCTTGGCCAGCAGGAGCCAGCGGCGGCGGGGAGCACCCAGGGGCCAGAGCACACCTGTGGGGCTGCCTAGCTCGGCCCGAGGTGGGCTAGGATGGCCTGGCCGCGTGGCACCAGCGGCACAGTCCCGACAGCAGTGGCTATAGACGGTGGCGTGGTCAAGCAACCGACGTGGGGCGAAGGAGAGAGCGAAAGAGGAGGTGGTAGCGTTCTTGGCTTGTGCCGTAGAGAAGTGGAGCAGTAGGATGCAGCGGTGGGAGAGCTCTGCCTACCGTCCATGTCTAGGAGAGCGAGGAAGGGGATGCGAAGGGCGAGGCAAGCGAGGAGGGAGCATCTGGTGGCAGCTCGGCACCTCACCATCGTGGGTAGAAGGCAGGGGCACATGGCAACCATAGTGGGGGCGCGACCGGCGCATGGAGGATGCGTCGGCATTTTTCCAAGCACATGGCGTGCGATGAAGTGGGCAAGGTGGGAGTCAAATTAGGCCGACTACGGGCCGATTTGGACCTTGGGCACAAAAGCAAAGTTGAAGCCCACCTAATGATCTACAAAACTCATTAAGGATGTCTGGCCATTAGAGCTCTCCATTAGTGGCTAATTAAGCCCCAAGTTGATAGTGTTAGCGACTAAACAAGGGTTATGCTTCGCTCTGCTTGTGCTCCAATTACTTGGTCCAAACAAGGTCAAACTGATCCCAACCTTTTGTATGTCCTTCTCCAAGATGTAAACTCCAACTTTTATATTTGGCTCAACTTGAGTTGCTTAACAAAAATCAGAGAACGCGAGATGTCAATCATCATTGCCACTGAAATTCCAGACTTAGCCAAATTTTTGAGATCCAAAACAACATTGGATTCAGTTTTGAGTCCTCAGTTTGACTAAGTTAGGGACCAAACTCGCTCATGACCCTTAAATAAAGTTTGTTGTGCACATCTTGTTCTGCAACTTTGGTTAAAGGATCATGGACTGGTTTAGCTTGGTTAGGAAGATACAATTCTCCAAAGTGGGGTACACGAAACTGAAACCAAGATTTAGTTTACTCCTGGAAACAGTTAGTCTTTACTGATTTTGAAACTTACTTCGAAAATCCAAATGAACTCCAAACTTGATGAGACTTACTTCATTGTTTCCAGCACAAAGTGTACTTCAACTCATATTAACAAATCCAGTCGAGTTACCATATGAATTTGGAAGATAAAAATTCACAAACATGTCAACTCGCTGTTGTCGGTCAGGGACTTACAAAAATCCTGGAGAGACCAAAACAGCATTGTATCCAAACTTGAGGCCATTGTTTGAGCCACTTAGGTGTTGAATCAGGGCTTGGTCCAAAAATAAAGTTTGTTGTACTCTATTCAAACTTTAACTTTTATTTAAGGTCCAACTCCATACAAGCAATCCAAACAATTGGTCAACATAGGTCAAAACCATATCATGAGAAAGACAATTTTAGCCATTCCCACACTTAGAAGCATTTTCTTGACATTTTCTCAAAATAAACCCTTCATGACTTTTATTCATGAGTTGAATTAGAGTTGTTTGAGCAAGGTTGTAAGGTTTGGTCGACATCCCATGTTCCTATTCACCTGATAAAGCAATTCAAGAAAGATTATAACTCATCATTTCATGTGACTTCTTGATTCCAAACTTCATGAAACTTTTCCACTGGTCAAGATGGATGCATGTTGATGTAATGTACATGAAATAAGCATGTTTAATATTACTCTTGCATAATCTTAACAAGGGTCCACGTGTAAGCAAAGTGTATTGTCCGAGTCCAAGTTGGGGCTCATTTTCATAGGTTTGACCTCAATACCTTCACCATTACTTCCATATTATGAACTACAGATCATAATCATTGCTTGATATATCCTACTTAAGTCTAATTTTGTTGTTTAACTCGTGGCTAACACCCAGGGTGTTACAACCACATGGTCCATGCATCATATGTTTGCACACAAGTCTATGCAATTCTGGATATTTCTTCTGATCAGGAAGCTCTGTCGATATCTACTTGTCATAATCATCGGAAGTACGTACTTTGCTCTCATCTTCCATAACCAAAAGGAAGTGTTCATGTGGTATTCCCCTTTTCTGAAACTTAGTGACATGTGCCCAGGCAGCGACCTTGCCCAAATGATGTTTTTTAAGAAGGTAATCTTGGAGGTCTCGTAGCATTGCTCTATAAACTCTTGCCATGATATCTAGATGATCTTGTAGCATTTGTCCTGGCAATAACTGTTCTACTATCTCATCCCAATATGGATTGGATGTCATTGTCACAAAAAAATCAGGCTTTCCATATTGAGTAATCAAAGCCATGGCATCCATATATCTTGAGTGCACATCACGGTCACTTCCTGGGAAATCTTTTGATGGTACAATTCTATGACAGCTTGTGACGCACGGGCTTCTCCAGCGGCTAGAGTGTCTAGAAGGCCCTGGTGAATATATGTGTTAAAACATTATAGGTTTTCCTTGGGTTTGAAAATAGAAAAAACAACTTTTCAACTCAAATACATCTAACCTAGTATAGATCAGCACGAATTAGATCTCGATGCGCCAGTTTTGAGTACCAATCTAATAGCATTGACTCCACCTTCACATACATATCAACAGCCCATTGTTGAAAAAGCCTCCCCCATGAAACATGACATTAAATTCTCTGTCACGAATTCGTAGCCTGAAACATAGATATTCCCTAGCGCTGACGTATCGCCGTGACTCTATAATTTTTGTTCATAATAACAACAAAAATGATTAAATTTTATTGTGTTTTGAGTTTATTGAATGGCTGAAATGTCTTAACTTCATCATGTTGAGAAAAATAATAATTAATAATATTTTGAATAGATAAAAAATTTTGCAAAGGAAATAACCTTCTTCTTCATGTACCTTCATCTCCGAGACAGCATTGATCTGAACAAGCATTGGGCCTATATAATATAAATATAAAAGTAAGAAATTTGTAGTTAGTTGTTAATGAGATTTTGAGGAAAATTTTTAAATTCTTTATTGTTTATTATGAAAATAACAAATAAAACCACCTTTTTGTACACGCTTAGTATATTTTCTCTTTGGTTTTGATGGAGGTGAGTCTTGATATAAAATCTTCTTATCTTCCCAACCAGTTTCACTATTATGAATGAACATAGGATATGCTAATGGATCATAACATCCATGGTACGGCCTTATATAATGAGGTTGATTTTCTTTACCATAAATGACTATGCTTCGCTCAAACCTTTGTTGTGGGTCATTTCCATCAAACCATATAGCAGCCACTTGCTCCATTGCGGGCGCATTATACCTTCTTTGGTCAACAGAAATACTTGTATTTAGCTCAATAGCGTAGCAATCCAAGTTAGTAAGAGTGCCTAGGCTCTTAAATGCTTGAACATATGGATTGTGTTGCATGATCTTCAATATAGTGCGGATCACATTAGCGTCAAGATGCGGTGATCTTTTCATCCTATGATGCATAGTCTCATCTGTGTCATAAAAGTATATAACTGCATGTGGCGTGGTCCCTTAGCACCGGGCATAAGTTGATCCAACCTGTGATATATTTGGCCATGAGCTTTAAATGTATAAATACCAATACCCTTTGCTGTTGGCAAACTACGACAATGGAAACCCCCATGCTGGTAAAAGAAAAGTATGGATTGAAGTAACGAATGTTCCTTCTGAAATACTTTGCATCCTTATTAGTTTAACTTGTGAACGATCGACGGAGCTCATCTGGGACTTCTGGTATAAATATATTAACACGTCCGTTCCGACAACAAAATGCAGGACCTTCACCTTCAAACCTCTTTGCATGACAATAAAAACAGTTTTGCACTTTCTTCAAGACATGATGGGTCTCAGGAAGACCCACATACACAAAGTTATAAGGATCATGACCATTTGTTTTTGTTGTGGGTTCTATAGAATACTTATATTTGAAATCTGCAATTTAAAATCAGAATTTCTGAAGTTTGCATGAGCATCAATAAAAAATAATATAAGAAAATGTTCTCACAAGCTCACCTTTATCATTAAACATTCTAGCTTCATCATCCTCATAGATGTCAGGGCCATCTTCATTTGGGTTCTGTTGATCTAAATCGTTTTCTATTAAAAAATATTAGACCATTACTCATTGCACATACAATGTATTTTTGGGATCTACATGTACACAGTTTAAATCTTTCATACCCTCTATTCCATGCAATGTGTCTTCTGGTTCCAAATGCCAGAATTGAAAGCTCCTTGATCCACTTTTTTCTGTGCACCATAATCACGTTGATATACACCTTTCCCAACACCTGAAACAGATAGGATTAAGCAGGAAACATTACTACCATACCTAAAATCTTTGACACTACATGTATAGGTGAAAATATATCAGTATCATGCCAGAGATATTAACATGTTTGACACTACATGTATAGTCAAAAATATGTTAGTATCATACCTGACATATTAAGAGTTGATGCTAAGAATTTCTTGGACTTGGCGGCAGCACTCAACATAGCTCGATGGTTACGTTGGTACTCACGTTTTTAGCAAGGACCTCAGCCTTCTTATCATCAGGCATTGCATGCCTATACCTCTTCTTGGCCATGTGCTTTAGAGTGTCCTGATCTTCATGAGTGCCTTGATCTACAAGATTCAAAAATAATTAAAAGTACTATTTTTGCTAAAATGAACAGTGTCAACAATTGACAGTGAAGAGCAAAAACCAAAAGAAGAGCATAAACAAAAAAGTGGAGAGCAAAAACTAAAGCAAAATACCTATATTATCCACTTGTGAAGCCATGTCCCGTTTCCTCTTACAAGAGTTGTCTTTATCATCCATTCTAGTATCGGTGATTTCAGATGCTGCAATCAATTTGGATGCATCAGCCTCGCCCTTTAGACGAGCCCGACGACTAAGTTGGTACTCACGATTTTTTCCCCAAAATTTCTCCGTGTGGTTAGGCAATGCAGCATACCTTTCTCCTTGATACTCACGAATTTTGGCCCGAGCTTCCTCCTTCTGAGCTGTGATTTCAGATGGTGCAATCAATTTGGATGCATCAGCCTTGGCCTTCAGACAAGCCCGATGCACTACCGGAGACCGGCTCTTTGCCGAGTGCCAAGTGGATTGCCGAGTGTTGTTTTTCGGGCACGCCTTTGCCGAGTGTTTTTTTTTTTGACACTCAGCAAAGAAGACTTTGTCGAGTGTTTTTTTTGACACTCGGCAAAGAAGCTTCTTTGCCGAGTGTTTTTTTTTGACACTCGGCAAAGAAGCTCTTTGCCGAGTGTTTTTTTACACTCGATAAAGAAAATTTCAAAGCACATTTTGATGTAGTAAATTAATTCAAATGAAAAAGTTTTCAACTACAAAGTTGTATAACTCATCAAGATGGATAATGTTTGTTTTGGTCTTTTCTTCATATGACAAAGTGAAAGTAAATTTGTTCACAAATCTAATATATCTCTATTGTAGTTTATGAAACTACAAGAGAGATATATAAGATTTGTGAACAATGTTAGAACGACCATGTCGGATGAATAGATGACTAAACAACCAAAATAAACTTTGTAGATCTCGAAAAATTATGAAACTTTGTAATTTGCAACTTTTTGATTTGAAATCATCTTGTCATGCAAAACTATGTTTGAATTTCAAAATTTTAAAATTTGAACTTTTCAAACGACCTCAGATGGAAAAATAACCAAAATAAACTCTGTAGATCTCAAAAAGTTATGAAACATTGTAGTTGGCAATTTTTTGATTTGAAATCATCTTGTCATACAAAACTGCGTTTGAATTTCAAAATTTTGAAATTCAAATTTTATAAACGACCTTGGATGGAAAAACTTCCTAAACTAAAAGTGTAGATCTTGAAAAGTTATGAAACATTGTAGTTGGCAACTTTTTGATTTGAAATCGTCTTGTCATGCAAAACTGTGTTTGAATTTTAAAATTTTGAAATTCAAATTTTGTAAACAACCTCGGATGGAAAAACTTCCTAAACTAAAAGTGTAGATCTCAAAAAGTTATAAAACTTTGTAGTTTACAACTTTTTTATTTGAATTCGTTTAGGACATCAAACAAGTAATTTACACTCGGTTTAGTATAATATGTTGGGAACTAAAACGAAATCTAGACTAAAGTGACAGTATGGTGTAGTGGTAGAGGAGGTTCGCGCATAGGGGAGGTCGCGGGTTCGAATCCCGCCGGCCGCGTATCCGTGAAATTTACACGAAAAATGCTCGAGATGGGTGGACGCTGGCTGGTGGGGGCCTCCACCGATTAAAAAAAAATCCATTTTTTTTTGTAAAAATTTCTATTTTTCGGGTTTTTTCGTTTCAACTTTACCGTCGAGTGCCCGATAAAAAACACTCGGCAAAGACGCATTTGTCGACCCATTTTTTGTCGAGTGCAGCACTCGACAAAACCTTTGCCGAGTGTAAATTGGGCTTTGCCGAGTACCCCTGACACTCGGCAAAGCCGAGTCCGGTAGTGATGACTACGCTGATACTCACGTTTCTCATCGCTACGCAATGCAGCATATCTATCTCGTTGATTCTCACGTTTTTTGGCCCGAATTTCCTCCTCATTATTAGGCATACCTACACAAACTTTGTCAGTTCTTATTTCATACATTTGGCACTCCAGAATGCTTGAGCGTTACATTTTTAATGCTTTACATTCCTATTACGTCTACACAAATTTATTACTTTTTGCCAACATAAGGAAACTAAATCACATAAATCATTATAATAAATGAAGAAATTTTGGTTAGAGTAAAATATGAAAACATATTTTTTACAGGCACAGGATAAAGTTATGAATTTAGCAAAATTAATTTCACAGTATTTAGATCTCTAATAATTTTCCTCCGATTTTTCACATGTCTCTGATGGATCAGTATAAACGCGCAAGTTATATTAGCTTGTACTGTTCATCTTAGCTTGTACTGTTCATCTTCTGTTGCCAACATAAGAAACTAAATCACATACATCATTATAATAAATGAAGAAATTTTGGTTAGAATAACATATGAAATCATATTTTTTCCGGGCAGAGGATAAAGTTATGAATTTAGCAAAATTAATTTCACAGTATTTAGATCTCTAATTATTTTCCTCCCATTTTCACAAGTCTCTGCATGGATTAGTACAAATGCACAAGTTCTGTTAGCTTGCACTGTTCATCTTAGCTTCATATTTTTTCCGGGCAGAGGATAAAGTTATGAATTTAGCAAAATTAATTTCACAGTATTTAGATCTCTAATTATTTTCCTCCCATTTTCACAAGTCTCTGCATGGATTAGTACAAATGCACAAGTTCTGTTAGCTTGCACTGTTCATCTTCCGTCAAGCAAACACACAGGGCCTGCAAACACACAGATAGAATAAAAGGAAACCGTACACACTTGTCGCACCAAAACCAAAAGGATACTGATCAGTCTAAACAAAGAACATTCAATCATAAACAATGGATATGTATCGGCAAGAGAGAGACTTAAAATTTTGTGAATCCTATTCATCGAAGGGCATGCTGATTCAATCATAAACAGAAGCCGCATAACCATAGCAATGTCAATTTGCAGTAAACATGATTACTACTTTATTTGGATTGTCCGACTGAGAAACCTGTTATCTGGCACCACAAAACTTGTACCAGCATACCTAAATGACTGTGATTGCGCGCCCCCGTCGTTGACGGCGACGTCGCCATCGCCGCCGCCCGACGTCGCCCGCGGGGCACGGTGGTGGTGGGATCGGAGCGGACGAATCTGCCGAGGCTTCGCGCCCACCTGGGCACCTGGTGGAGGGCGGCAGCGACAGCCGCCAAGTCGTCGACAGGCCTCTGCCCACCGTACGGTGCTGGTCGCCTGGCGGTGGTGGTGCCCGCTGTGGCAACGTTGCCGGAGAGAGCGACGATGGGATTCCCTGGAAGGACTGCGAGGTGCAGTGGTGGGCCGACGGGCGGAGGCGTGGAACCGCTGCGGAGACTGCTTGCGGCGCGACTCCGAACTTCCGAAGGCGCGAAGCGTCACCACTGGCGAGGACGTAGAAAGGGGCCGCGTCGGTGGGTGTGGGTACGCGCGGCCGCGCCGGGTGAGAAAAAACGAGGGGAGCGAGGCGCGGGAAGAGAGAAACACGCTTGCTTCGTAGGTTCATGTCATCTTTCCCTCCCTCGTGGGTCCACCTGTCCAATTTAAGGTGGGTAGGTAATTTTTTTTTGGGTAATAATGGATTTTCAATTTCTACGCTCCTTTATAATATAGATACGTAGCAACTCTGTAACCACTTGCCTATTCTTATATAGTGCCATAAGCAACCAGTTGGATCTGCTCTATGTGGGTACTATGTGTGCGAGTTTCTCAGAGAAAACAGGCAATACACCAACAATCCTAAGAAAGTAAGTCATATGAGAAGTTTTGTCATTACTAATGCAAATGCATTGGTCACTTGTAAATATATGATGACTTAATTTTATTTTGCAGGTATATAAGTATCATCCACGGATGATCGCCTCAACAATGAAGAGCTTATGAACATTTGCGAGGGCAAGAGCCGGTTCATCATGAAAGAAATAATTCACTACAAAGGAAGCATTTTGATCTTCTTTTTGTCATTACTGATGCAAATGCATTTTGATGTTCACTGCAAAATGCTGTTGCATGCTATCCACCCTATCGCGGGTCTCTCTCTGCTTCTCTCTCCACAGCCTAAATAGGCACCGATGCAACTAGGTTCATCGATCTTCTTTTTTCTAGCACTCACAGTGGTCAGAGTAGTGCTTCAATCTTCTCCCTTCTTTTTGGGCGCCACCCAGGGAACACATCGTGGACGGCCTTATTTTTCCTTTATAGTATATTTGCGTGGACCCCGGTTATATTTGATTTTGTCCCGGTACAGGCATAATCATACTTGATAATCATCTTCTGTTTTCCCTTTTTATTTATAGAGCAGGTGGCCCCGCCGACTTTGTCAAATAGAATAGGTTAATAGGCCATTTGTTTGCAATTTTATAAAAGCAACACCTAGATTTGCAATGATTTATTTAAATAATATTATATGAAAAAAAATCGCCATACTCTTCGCATTACTCTGCCATATATTTTTGCTCCAGTCAAACTGACAAAGAAATGGGTTCATACATTTCGTTACCGACAAAGATAGCCTTTTCAGACAATCTCAGATCTGAATGCATACACAGCATTTCTAAAACTTCATATCCAGCTAATAGTACCAGCAGCCCTGGCTTTTTAAGAGGTTATCTTTATCAACCGGATTTTAAAACTTTAATAATGGACGGCTAAAACTGTAATAATGGATGTGTTCAGTGCATGGGCTTTGCTGGTTCCAGATTTCAACAACTATAATAAGATCTCGTTTGGCATAGCTTTTAAAAGTAGCTCTAGCTCCTTTGCTACAATGTGTAGAGAAGCTAGAGCTGATAAAGTAAAAAAATAGTGGTTTCATTGGTTCCTAATTTATTATTTGAGAGAAGATAAAAACAACTTTTTTTAAGGAAAAAATAAATTTCCATTAATCAGACAGAGCTGAATCATCAGTAATTACAACCTGAATGTTTGTCGGAACGGAGGCCAAAACATGGTCCTCATCCGGATCACACACTACTGAGAACAGCCAGATCATGGGCCACTTTATTACAAGCACGAGGGAGATGAAATTAAAGGCCAAAAGATTACGAAGCTCGTCGACCACAAATTTGTCACCGCACTGAATCCAAAAGCATTGAAGTAGACTGCTTGAACAACTTCCGCGGCGTCTGTCTCAACAATGCCGCGCCCCACTCCAGCAGCATCAGCGGCAACAGATCTTTACTACTCCCTCCTTTCCGGTATAGGAGGCGTACAACCGTTTTCAGTTTTGGCGTAATACCAGGCACGCTGGAGCACTAGTCATAATCGAAGGGTCGCATGTAGGCTGTAGTAGCGTCGCATGCATAGGAGTATTAAATACGTGGATGCTAACGGCTGAGGTAGAGAAGGATTTGAGAAAGCGGTGTGTACTGATAGGCTACAGCTATATAGGTGGCCATGCAGCCGGTAGCCTGGCAGCACGGCCCGAAGCACAGTTTTTTGTCCGGCCCGAGCACGGCCCGGGCCGGTGGTGAGTGGGCGTGGGCTGTCCTGGCCCAATGCTTAGGGTCGTGCTTAGGCCGCTGCCTAGGCACGCCGGGCAGCACGGCCTGGCCCGCAAAATAGAGTCAGCCCGGTGCTAGTCCGATGTTTTTTTCTCAAAGCAGGCTTCCTACTTCCTAGCAAGCCATCGCAAGGTTCTACAGCCCAATGCCATATGGCCCAATACAGCTTCCGCATACAACAGACGCAAATACCTTCGTCTCGCCTCATCCCTTGACGCCGCTCCGCTCTCTCCTACGCGAATCACGAGCCACGACTCCGCCGAATCAGCCGCCGCTTCCTACCTCGCCTCCTCCCTCACACCACCGACCATTGTCCTTCCCTTCTCCCGTGGATCTCCGGTCGTCTACCTCCCTGTTCGCCTCCTGCCCTTCTCCTCGTGGATCTCTGGCATGGGCGCCACCACAGCCCTACCGTTGGAGCGCGCTGGGCGGATCTGATGCCCGACGCCACCGACACGGCCGGCGGCGCCATTGAGCCCGCGCCTCTCCACCGCCTTCGTGGTCTCCTCCCAGCTTCACGTGATCGCACTCCTCGACACCACCTCCGCAGCCACGAGCACCACCATCCTCTCTTCCCCTGCTGAAGCGGGCCTTGAGCTGGCCCCGCCTCCTCAGCAGGCCGTGCTTTTCGGGCCAGCCTGGCCCAAAAATCGGTCCAACAGGCCATGCCTGGGCCGCTAGCCAGGCACGAGGCCTGCTTGGGCACGGCCCAGGAGGCACGACGTGCCATGCTGGCCCGATCCCCATCGGGCCGTGCCTGTTACGGTCCCATGCCGGGCCGGGCCGGTCCGAGCCGGCCCGTTGGACATCTATAGCTACAGCAGGCTAAGAAACGAAACGACGAACGTCTGCCGGTGTGGATAATTATGCCAGTAAATACACATGCACGAAATGAATGCACGTTCTTGGTATCTGAAATCCATCTTCTCACATCTGGTAAATAAGATAATGAGTCTCAGCGGGTTCAAGTGAGTTTCATTTACATTAAATAGATTGCCATGTAGACATTTTTGATGATATGGTAGTGTATTTAAAAAGAGAGAAGAAATGATCTCTTAGCACGATTATCAACTCTATACGAGTCATGAAATTAAATGTCTATGTAACTCTAGAATGAAACTTTGCATTGAGAGAGGGTGTTTCATCTGAGTTTCATTTCATTATATATAACATAGCGGTCTTGAAAACAACGTCGTAAAACTCACCGTTGGGAACGGAGGAAGTATATGGCACATTGGAGCGAGCCAGGCCACAAATATTTCAATAGAACTTAAACGGATAGTTGTGTGCACATGCTTTCCCGGTTCAAGGTTTCAGCAATTGTAATAACGGATGGTTGCAGGTCGAACGCACATGCTTTGACATTCCAGATTTCAGTGCCTCACTAGCAACTACGGAGTACGGGAGTATCGGTAAAAAAAAAAACTAGATCCGCGGAACCATGACGTTCCACCGGTTTTTCGTTAAGAAAAGATTTTCTCACATAGATCTAGAAAATCCTCGAACGCTGACCCTATCCATATATAGCGGCATCGTATCCCCGTGAGACGGGACGGCCATAGACCTCTACTTTGGTGGGTTTTTCATTAAGAAGAGGGTTTCTCATTAAGAAGAAGATTTTCTCGTGCACATCTAGAAAATCCCTGAACTTCGGCCCCACCCATATATAGCGACACCCACGAGACGGGACGGACACATACCTCTACTTTGGTGTGGGACAGACGAATGGATTTTTTTTTCCTTCAAGATTGAAATTCACCCCAGATGGGAATCAAACTTAGGACCAGAGAGGTGCCGTAGAAGCCACCTAATCAACTAGGCTAGGGACCCTTGGGCGGGACTATGGGTAAGGATGGATACTGATGTAGACAAGCCCTAATCTTTTGATAGGTACGATAGCGTCGATTGGTGGAGACTCGACGTTCACGATCTAGGTTTCGAACCAAGACTGATTCGGACCCTCGCAACCGTTACACCACTGCTCCGTTGGTTATCAACCACGCGAACGCGATTGACCTCGTCGAGAAGGCTTTTCTGCAAGCGAATCGAGAACACAAGCAAGAATGGGATCAACGCAATCTGAAATTATAAATAAATATGAGGCTTGTGATAATGAGAACGAGTTCAAGTCTTTATTCAAAAGGACTAATCGCCACAGGCGAACAAGATCAAGAAATGGGGGCCTTGTTCACAGCAAGCGGCCTTGACGACATAGTTGCAGCAAAACGACGTCTGTTTTATAAGAAAATCAAGAACTAAATAAAACTCAAACCCTAAGGAGAACGATGGCTGCTAATTATAGAGCCCCGGACGTCACCCCCTGGACGCGCCCCCTAATAGGCTCTAATACGATACACGGCCCAACGGATCAAAAGACATTGTCGCAGCACCCTAGCAGATTCTGGATGCTGACTTATTTCGACGATTTCTGTTTATTCCGAAGGGCTTTTGACGTGAGACCACTTGCATTGGCTTCCTTATCTAATTATCTTTCCATCCATATGTGGATCGTCAAAAACAGAGCCCGGACGTGCCCGTGTGACCAGTTTTATAACAGA